GGGGGGCCCCTCCCCCCCCCCCCAACAGGTGTGTGTGTCCCGGGCGCCTGGGTTGTCTGCAGCTCTGCAGAGGGAGGAAGGCCTGAAGGGAGCACGGTGGGGAGGAGCCCGGACGCCTGCGCTCCCTCCCGGGGGGGGCGGGACCAGGCCCCGGGGCTCCCCCCCCCCCCTGCCTCTCCGCCCCCCTGCCCCCGCCAGCCTTGATGGTGCCCCGCAGCCCCGGGGTGGGGGTAGAGCAGCGAGGCCGGGAGCCCGGACGCGGGGTTCTCTGTGCAGAAGGAGAGAAATCAAAACTACAATTGCCTGGCCAGAGAAATCAAAAGTACAAGTGCCCGGCCAGCGCAGGACCAGAGCGCGGAAAGAACCCAGGCGTCCGGGCTCCTTGCGGGGCTCACGTCCTGGCACGCGGAGGGGTCAGGATCCTGGGCTCCGAGGCCAGGCCAGGATGTGACACACGGGAGCGAGCTCAGTGACTCACGGGACAGGAATGGGGGGCAGCGCCAGCTGGACCCTAGCCACTCTCCCTCCCCTCGCCCCCAGGGCTGCGGGTCGGGAGTGAGGGGCACCGCTATGAGTGGGGAAGCTGCAGGTCGGGAGTGAGGGGCACCGGCAGGCCTGGGGGGTAGGGGGCTGCGGGTCGGGAGTGCGGGGCACCGCTGTGGGGGTCGCGCTTGGATACTTCTCGGCTGATTCACCTTCCTTCCTCCCGCCTTTACTCATCGCGGCCCCGGGCCTGCCCCCCACCTCCCAGGCGTGCGGGTTCCCAGCACCCCGTGCGGGACGTGCAGGCACGTGGGACCCAGGGTCGGCGCCCGGGAGACGCGGAGCGAGACACGGACCCCACGAGACGTGGACACGGAGCCCAGGCGCCCAGGACAGAGCCGCGCTCACAATCCCACACAGGGAGCCCCGGCGTCCGGGACAGGCGCGCGCTCGGGACCCACGTGTGTCGGACTCACGTGTGTTCTCTTTGCCTGTCTCCCTGTTTACCTGGCCGCAGCACGTGGCGGGGGAAACCCGCCCCACCGGAGGAAACCCGACCATATAGGGACATCTACGTCACACGCGGCCACGCCCGGGCTCCCTGGGCTGGGGCGGGCACAAGGCACAGGGCTGGGGCAGAGGTGAGGCCGACAGGTGCGGGCGGGGGGTGGCCTTACTAGGAGTCCCCGAGGCAGGACGGGGGGAATCCCCGCCGAGCGGGGCGGGGCAGGGCAGTGACGTGGCCGCGGAGTTCCCATTCATAAAAAAGGGCGGGCCGCGCGGGTGGCGCAGAGCGCAGCGGCATGGACCGGGCCCCGGCGCCGGGATCGGGGCCCCGCGGCCTCCACCAGGTACCGGGGAGAGCGGGGCCGGGAGCCACACGCCTGGGTCCTCTCCAGCTCCTGCAGGGGAGGGGGCTAGGGTGTGAGAGCGGGACGCCTGGGTTCCCTCTAGCTCTGGGGCGCGGGCTGAGAGCCGGGACGCCTGGGTCCCCCCCGCTCGGGGACGGTGCCTGGGGATCGAGAGCAAGGGGACTTGAGAAAGCCCAGACTCCTGGGTCCCCCCTAGCTGTGAGGGGAGTGAGTCCAGGGGGTGCTGGGAGCCGGACGCCAGGCTTCCCCCCAGCTCCGAAAGAGGAGCGGGGCCCGCAGGATTCAGAAGAGGGGTCCGCTGGGGACTCTCCCAGGGCTGCAGTACAGAGCTATGGACACAGCGCTGCAGCGCCGGGAGCGGCCGGCAGGGGCCGCGGGGGGGCCTGCGCGGGGGGGGGGGGGGGGTC